AGGTGGTGGGCGCGGCGGGCCTGGCGTCCATCTGCGACTCGGACACGGACCCGCGCGAGCTCGAGGCGTTCGCCGAGCGCTTCAAGCAGCGGCGCATCAAGCTGGGCGTGACGCAGGCCGACGTGGGCTCGGCGCTGGCCAACCTCAAGATCCCGGGCGTGGGCTCGCTCAGCCAGAGCACCATCTGCAGGTTCGAGTCGCTCACGCTCTCGCACAACAACATGATCGCGCTCAAGCCCATCCTGCAGGCGTGGCTGGAGGAGGCCGAGGGCGCGCAGCGGGAGAAAATGAACAAGCCCGAGCTCTTCAACGGCGGCGAGAAGAAGCGCAAGCGGACTTCCATCGCCGCGCCCGAGAAGCGCTCCCTCGAGGCCTATTTTGCCGTACAACCCCGGCCCTCGTCGGAGAAGATCGCCGCCATCGCCGAGAAACTGGACCTCAAAAAGAACGTGGTGCGGGTGTGGTTTTGCAACCAGAGACAGAAGCAGAAGCGGATGAAATTCTCTGCCACTTACTGAGGAGGGTGTGAGACGCCGGGTGGGGCACACTGGGGAGCTGAGGGGTGCGTTTCTGGGCTCTCTCTGGCCTACTTCCCCTCATTTAGAGTGTCCGTTATCCTGCCTGCATTTGAGGAGTTCCTTTTCATGCCCTTCCCTCAGCCCCACTCTGCACCCTGCCCTAACTGCCCCCCAGCCTAGAGAACAGGGATGTGGGTGTGGAGAAAGTTTGGAATGGCAGGACAGAATGTGGGGGGCGTTTAGGTGAGCAGGGCGTGGGGGGGGAAGCAAAGCAAAGACTAGAGTTGGGGGTTTTCGAAAAGCAGGATGGTTCTGGGGACTAGGGTGGGAGGGAAAGATGGGGGGAAGAACTGGGATGGACAGTTATCTTGACCAGAAACACAAAATCATCTGGGGACCAAGAAACTATGTACAAAGACAAAACTACCAACCATCACCAAAAACAAAAACATAAAACCCTAGACAAAAAGAGGGTGTGTGGGGGGGAGACAAAGAAAGATTCTTTAGGAATTTAACTCCTGGGAGCACTATTCTGCAGCTTCGTTCACCCCCAAGGAAGAGAACCCAGCAATACCATTGCTACCACCGTCCCAACTTCCCAAGCACAAGTGAGTCCTACAGGAAAACCAAACAACCCAGAGGGAGAGCTTCTGGGGAGGAAGCTAGTTCTGTGTTTAACTTTCCCTTCTAAAATCTTACACCTGTACCCTCTTTGATTTATTTCCCCTTTTCCAAAGAGACTCCAAGGCTCCGCAGCTGGAGCTTAGCTTACATGCGCTTTGGGAGGCTGTCTGGTCATTCACACTGAATCTTCATTTTCCAGGAGCCAATGGTCACAGTCTTGTGGCCTGGTCTTGGTCAGGTGAGGGTCTTAAGAGCCCAAAAGACAGAAATTAGGTTCTCCGAAAAAATATTGTATTCTGGGATAATTAAATGATCATAACACCTACAGTAGGGTTTCACTTTTATATTTTTGTTCACATATCCATGAACAAATTATCTGAGTGGTTTTGTCTCCCACCCTACTTATAGAACTTCACCTTAGCGTGCCCTCTGTTTTTCAGTTAGGATTCAAACTCTGCTGACACATACTAATTTCTTGATAGCATGTGAGGGTGGGAGATGTTAGGGAAGAGACTTAATTCAGTTTCCACTTCTCTCCACTGAATACAGCCCGTCTCACTCTTCTAGGTCCCTGTCTCCCTCCCTTGGAGAACATGAAGTTGTTGAAAAGCTGAGAAGTTTCTGCTTTCATTTGGGGGCAGGAGTCCCATGTAAGGAAAGTCACCTAAAATCCCAGAAGAAAGGAAGAGATTTAAAGAATTAATAGCCCCTCCCACCTTGTTCGTTTCAAATAGGTCTGCACTTACCCGGGGAAAGCAGCACAGTGTTTCCCTGTTGTTGTTGTTGTTATTCAAGGATCATTTATTACTGGGGATAAATATCGAGTCGGAAAAACTTCAACTTGCACTATGAGTTTCCAGAATAGAAAATCATGTATGGTATTTCATACTAATAATCCAAGCTACTGATGGATTTAAAAAAAAAAAAAAAGAGAAAGACAGTTTGAGAAAGAAAAAAACCGAGAAACGTGGTTTAGTGAAATGCCTGCTTTGTTGTGTACACGATTCTGTTTGGATCTCACATGGAGATGGCTTGTTACTATCATTTAACCGTAACTAAAGATGAAGACAGAAGAGATGAGGGGGGAAAACACTGTTTAATGAGACTGAGATTTTGCATGGTTCGAAAGGTGCAGAAAGAAATCCGATTAGGTCTCACTCTGGGTAGGCGTTGTTGTTTATTTAATTATGTTGTATGTCATTGTTTGCAGCACAAAAACATTCTATGCATTTGAAACTGAGCACTAAACTGGGCTAGCTTTCTGGTAGACCGTTTTGTGGATAGTGTGATTTCACAGTCTACTGCCTGTTCCCACTGAAAACACATTATTGTAAATATTTTCTTTCGTGCACAGGCTCACACAGTGGTTACAAACTGCCAGTGTTAATCCTGAACTGTCTCACGGACTGATCCTCCTGTCCATGTTGTCTGCAGAGCTTTCTCCTTGGTTATGTCTTTGCTCTATTGCCCTCCCCTCCCCCAATCCCATCAGAACCATTTCTGTGCGCCAACATGCAACAGGGAGATGTGTCCCAGTACACTTCCAAATAAAACATGACTGAAAGAAGAGCAGTCTTACGATCTGGGTGCATTTTTGTGTTTACATTGAGCCAAGTCCTACTAGAGCCGTTCAACAAATGAGACAAGACAACCAAAACAAAACACCCAAATCAAACAGGAAGCCTAACCCAAATAGATTAAAATCAAACAAGAATAGGAGTGAGGGGAGTCAGCAGGAGTGAAAGGATGAAATTTATTTATTTATTTATTTATTTATTTATTTATTCTAAATGAGAATTCAGTTTCAGATAACTCATGCGAACTGGTGCTCTGAGTAAGATGAATTACCTGTCCATTTTATCTAAGTTTTAATTCTAATTACAGAAGCGCCTAAGCCACTGTAGTCCATCCAGAGTGGCGATGGAAAGCAGTAAATAACCAGGCACCTGAAAAGCATTTAACTTGAAGGTCAGGAACACAGGCATCTAGGGGTTTGGATGTGCTGTTCTACTCTAAAAACACTTCGAAAAATGTTGTGACTAAATGACTTTTCGTTGCCAGTTAATAAAGTTTAAAAGTATCCTTTGATCTGGCCCAATAACTTGTCAACTGCTTCTCTTCCCTTAGAACATTTTGCATACCACCTATTGCTTCGGATTGACAAAATTTTCTTTTTCTTTTCTTTTTGGTGACCTGGAACTAGATCAAATGCCAAATGTACAAACTTTCTTAATAGTTGGGACTATATCCTCTGAAGTCATCCTATTTTAGCTAAATCTTTTAACTTCACCGGCATATCTGTGAAAGAAAAGTGATGTTCGGAAAAGAATAGTACATTTTAAAAAGGTGTGATTTTAAAACAGTTGTTAATATTTTAAAAAGCACTAGAGGTATTTTTAAAAATAGATCTCTTCCATCAAAATTGATTTGTTTCTGTTATTGACTTGAAGTATCATCAGAGTTTCTAATAAAATACATTTGTAAAAGAACACATTATTTTATAGAAAAGTATGACCAGATTTCATTGTTGGAGATCCAGGAATGAACAAATAAAAGATTTACAAAGGTTGTTTTTCTAATAATCTGCTCAAACAAATGTTGCAGGCAAATACATTTGTATTATATAATAATGGATAATGTATGTATTAAGAATTTAAGCATTTGTTTTGTATTAAGTAAAACCCTTGCCCAGTACAAAAAAGAAGACTATTTAATAAAACATCATGAAAATACATCGCTTTGCAGGGTTTCCTATTTTATGCAGTAGGAAACTGTGCAAAACTTAAAAAAAAAAGTTTTGCTTTCTACTGAGTGGATTTGTACAGGACAGGAAGGAATGATAGAGTTCTTGTAAGACTGCTTCAGCTGTCAGCCCGTGGAAAATTTTAAAAGGGAACTCCTGAAGAGAAGGCAGAGGTTTGCTGATCTGTGGTAGTTTGGCTTTTCCAAGTTCTCTGGTTCAGATAGTCGGGAAAACATTTCCTAACACATCTGCTAATTGGTAGAAATAAAATGTGTGAGTCTGAACTCCTCTAAAGAACATAAGTTTTAGAAGGTAGGGGAACTAGGCTCTGATTCTGTTTTAGACTCTTTAGACACACAGGAGCAGAGTAGGAAAGGGTTAAAGAAAAACATGCGTTCAGTGCACTCGCCACAGAAATGTCACCTTCTTCTTAAACCTGCTTTCTGAACTCTTCACAGGATTCTGTTGTTTCTATCGTCTAAGAAAGGATGTCCCCAGCGTCCATCAGCTAGCTTCTGGATGGATTTTTGTCTAATGCGTGTTCTTAAATTATTCTCAACTTCAGTTATAAACTGTTAAATAAATAGTAGGCACCCAATGCAGTGATTGTATCGGTTTTTACTTTCTTATGAAACTAAGATTGCTTAGGTCTGGTTCTTACATTTAGCCTCTCAGAACAAGGGCCCAGATCAAAACTGTTGGTAAGTTCCTGCCCTAGGCTCAGATTCGTCTGTTTTTCTGGGCCTCTGGACTTGAAGGTTACCTGGGCTAACACCCCTGCAAATGGGTGGGCTTTCCTTATTTAGTACTTCGAGTTTAAATAGGAGCCTTTGACTGGCTAAAACTAGTATTCCCAACCTTATTCTAAGGGTCTTGATGGCCAGAGGGGAAGTGACAACCACAATTATACTGGATAATGTTCTGCCGTCGCTATCATTGCTACAACAGTCTTAGCCACACCAGAGGAGCTACACAATCCTCGTGGGCTGTTTTAAAGGAGGCCACCAGCTTAATTGATTTAAAAAAAAAAAGCAGCCGAAATCAAGTTCTCGTGGGGGCCCTCTCTTTCACCTGCGAGATAAGCCTTGTCGCAATAATTACGTTATTTAATATTTGATCAAACCTTCGCGCCTCTGCGACTTCAAGTGCGCAACGCGGCCGTGGTCCAGCCGGGCACGTGCGAAGCGGACGCGCGGCCATCCCACTCGGGTTGCCTTGCCCTCTGAATAATTCATGGCCTGAGAGTTCTGGAAATTAATAAAATGAATGATAACAAGAAGCTAATTAAAAACTTTCTTAATTGTTGTCAAGTCAGCTTGATGGGAAACAGCCCTGGGTGACTCCATCCCTGAAAACCGCAGGCTGCAGAGGGTGGCGCTGGCGGTCCTGGCACTGCTCCGACTGCGTGTGACTGCGGGAACAGCTCGCGGGGCTCCCTGCTCCTGGCAGCCGCCCTTTTGCAACCCACCCACCTCACCCGCCTAACTTTTCACAACAGTGAGGGAGGTTGGCGTGTGCAACCCCAAACCGGAGTAACTGAGTCGTATTTTCAGCTACCAGGGGTGTACCCCCACCCCACGCCGGAGCTTCTTGCTGGGGACCCTTGGCCCCTAGGTTCCTAGTCTCCAGACAA